ATATTCTCTCAAATTAAAACATGACTCACTTAGGGGGAGAGATCCTATCTTGCTTATCTTTGTGTCTTTAGCACCTCCTATGGAATTTCACACAGGGCCCTAACAAGATAGCTAATATTTATTCAGTGATGCACTGATAAAAGTGCTTTCAACTTTATGTTCTGATAATTACAATATAGAAATTATTATCAAGTTCATTTTATAGACAATGAGAGTGAGGTACAGGGAGACTAAGGAACTGGTTTATGGTCACCCTGGTAGTGACAGAATGAAGATACAAAGAATGGAGATTCAAAGACTATGCTATATTGATGCAATAAGTGTGCCTACTGTATCTTTTATTTAAAAAACTGACTGAAGAAGGAGATCTGAGGGAAAATGATCATGACCTACACAATGGGAACCAAGCCATATAATTAAACAAAACCTTTTTTCCCCCTCAGACACAGAAAAGCCAGAGAGAAGATATAGGTCCCAATTGACTTAGGTGACTGCTGAAGGCCCGCAAATCTGGGCTTTAGTTTAACCGTCGGGCTCCCTTTGGTCAGAAAGTCCCCTGCTTCACTGCCGGGTGCCCCAGGGCTCACAGAGGGCAGAGTCCTTTGGTAGCCATCTCCAGTCCTCTGGCAAAGCACTTCTCCACACACGGGAGCAAACTCAAGGTTTTGTAACTAATTCAACTCCTTGATGTCAATAAATCAACAGGTATAATTAAGTAGCTATGATAAGAATGATAACCATAATAATAATAATACTCTATGTTACATGATTTTAAAACATTAGGTATCAAGTATGTGTAAAAGCAAACTCCTGGCATTATTTATTCAAGGCTCTCCTTGAGCAGGAGCAATGGTGCACACATCCTAGGGAGAATGTGCCTGGCTCTCACTGAGCCCTCAGTGCTCAAACATTTGCTTACTTGGGCCTCATCTGGAAAGCTTGTTAAGACACAGACAACTGGGCTTCTTTTCCTCTGGAGTTTCAGATACAGTTGCCCTGGGGTGGTGCTTGGGAATTTTCATTTTTGACATATTCTCACTGCTGCTGGTTTGGGAATCAGATTTTGAGAATGAGTGTATTAAGCAATGTTGGGAACTGCCCTGCCTGGTTTCAGAAGCTATAAACCCCCATGGCTAAGGCTGAATGAGAGACCTTGGGACCATAAGCCAGTAAGGAGACAAAGCTTATCTCCCTGGCAGGGGCACTACCTCTTCCCCCTTTACTTCACCCTGCTTGGCCCAGGGCAGATGACTGGTTAGCCAATGATGGGTAAGATTCCTCAAGGGAGGGATGACCTAAGACAGGCATGGTCATGAAGAGGCCCTCAGGGAAGGACTTGGGGGATTATAGAGAAAAGGGGTGATAGACCCTCACCCCTTGGCTTTGACATAGCCTGAGTCCTCATTCTGTCTGTGAGAAGTCTCCTAATCTCTTGGCTGCCTTACTTCCCCTACCTGGTTTAAGCCTGAAACAATGCTGGAGGGTGGTGCCACCCTGGGCAGGAACAGGCGGTTCCCTGGGTGATCAGGCCTAAGAAAGAATGCATAAAATCCTACGAAACCTGCTTTGCTAAGAATGTCCTCAATTCTCTGATAAGGGTCCAAGTATGAAATGAGTTTGTTTCCCAAAGTTTTATGGCCCTTTAGCTAACTGAACCTGACTCAGAATAAGCCCTCATAATTCTTTGTATGTTATGCATTGTTTGATCCTTACTACCTGCCAATGATTGATGAGCTTTACCTGTATTACTGTGCAAATTGAACCCAATAAAAGCCCATTGAGGAAAAGGCTCCTGGCCCATCTCTTTTGAGAGATCGGCCACCTTTCTTCCCCCAGCAGATCATGTCTTGGTGGACTTATTCTCATCCATGGCAGACAGGAGGGCTCTGCAGGCGGAGCCCCACATAAAGCAACTAATTCTTAAGTAAATCATCTGGTTTGTTTCTATTTTGGATGTTTCTTTTAAAAATTAGCCCTGGTTGAATGGCTCAGTTGGTTGTAAGGTCATCCCATACACCAAAAGGGTGCAGGTTCAATTCCTGGTCAGGGCACATAGCTAGGTTGTGGGTTTGATCCCTAGTCAGGGCATGTACAGGAAGCAACTGATGGATGTGTCTCTCTCATACTGATGTTTCTTTCTCTCATCAGTGTTTCTCCCCGCTTCCTCTCTCTCTAAAATCAATAAACATATCCTTGATTGAGGATTAAAAAATGTATAAATTAGTCTTTAACTTCAATCTTGTTATGAAAGGAACTCATCCAAACAGATCAAAATAACACTATGGATTAATCATGTATGGTTTTGCTTAAGAATAAACTTTCTTACATGTAATCAATATGTATTATTTATATGTGGCTGGGTTTAACAGTCAGTTCTTTAGCAACATGGGATTGGTGTGGCCTTGTAGCTACTTGGTTTTCAGGTCAAGGGCTGAGTGCTGACATTCTTGGTTCTCCATCCTGGTGTTCGCACTGGCCCGGGAATCTGGCAGTGGAGGTTCTCAGATGATTCTGTGGCTAGTGGCTGTAGTTCAAAAGCTTGCTTCCCTCACTGTCACCACAGTTTGGGGGCTTGGTTCTACCTCTGGGTAATATTCTTTTCCTAGATATCTACAGGGTTTACACTCTTATCTCCTTCCAATCTTTACTAAAAGGCGAAGAGAAGGCTTTCTTCACTGCCTTAAAATCAAACCTCCTATAACCCTATTTCCCTTTCTGCTTTATTTTTCTCTATTGTGTTTGTCATTGTGTAACTTTTCATACAATTTCTCTCTCAATTATACTTATTGCACATCTCTTCACTATAATTTAAATCCATTGGGAGTACAGATTTTGTCTGTTCCGTTCAGTGGTACATTGTAGGCATTCAAGCAATATTGGGGAAATAGATGAATAAATGATTAATTTCTGTTGACCTGCATACATTAACACATTATATTACTTGATGATGAACTTAGTTCATTTGCTCTACTACACAGGCATTGTTAAAATTATATTTATACTTTTCTTTGATCTTTTTTTACCAGAAGTTAGGTGCTAAGCCTCTTCTTAAGATTCACTTTGGGCCATGCATCAAAGGGGATTGTGACAATTTTTATCTTGTTGTTACCTGACATGGTTTCACACCTAGATTCATCCATCTCTGTGTATCAGTCAGCAATAAAACCTTCTGCCACCAACTCTCCTACCAATGTTCTCGATGTCCTCACCTTGGGCCATATCAGGTAAAACGCATCATATTGGTTATTCTTGCTCTCCTGTGACCCCAGCCTGTCTTCACTACTCTACTCTTCCAATATTTTTAAAAAGCAAACACCTCTTGTTAGAAAATACCATTTTTTAATCCATGTTTTTTTATATTATAATACTGTTTTTCTTCTTAGGCAACCTTCTTGAAAGTGTTCCTTATATTTATATTCTTCATGTCTTTATGTGTATATACTATTCTACCTTCATTATTTTGGCTTTTACCCCCCAATTTGTCATTCATGACCTGCTGCTACCAAATGCAACAGATACTTTTACTCCTTTTTTTTTATCCTCACCTGAGGACATGCTTATTGATTTTAAAGAGAGAGGAAGGGAGGGAAAGAGGGAGAGAAGCATTGATGTGAGAGAGAGGCACCAATCGGTTGCCTCTCGTATGCACCTTGACCGTGAACTTTTGGTTTACAGGAGGACACTCCAACCAGCTGAGCCACACTGACCAGGGTGATACTTTTACTTCTTCATCATGTTACTTGAAACATTTCCCCCTTTGTCTTTCACCTCATTTCCTGACACCATACTCCCCTGGTTTGTCTTTCCTTTGGTTACCCATCCTTGTTCTAATTTGTGGGTTGTCTGCTTTTATTATTTTCCTGGTGATCTCAGCCATTTCTATGACTGTAATTATCATTAATATATTTGGTGATTCATTAAATGGTATTTCTAGCTCATATCTCTTTTCTAAGCTTCAAATAATGATTTAACTGACAACTTATAAATGAATGTTCCACAGGAACTTCCAATTTGATAAAGTCTGCCATTAACCTGCCCTTCTTCTGTTCCTTTTCTCATTGCATATTTGAACCACGCACTCAGGTTTATAGCTAGAGGCTTGATGTCACCTTTGGACTTACTTCTGTAACCCTCACTCCTCACATCATATTTCCTCAATCTGGCTAATAGGTGTGAAAACTGATTCTCTTGAAATACTCGAGAGCACCTAACAAAAAGTTAAAATTTTTAATTTTTTTATCACATGAGGATATGTTTAGTGATTTTAAAGAGGCAGAAGATGGGGAGAGTAAGATGGTGCCAGAGAGAGAGAGAGAAACATCAGTGTGACAGAGAGACATTGATCAGTTGCCTCTTGTATGTGCCCTGACCGGGGATGGAACCTGAAACCTAGGTATGTGCCCTGACTGGGAATCAAATCTGCAAACTTTTTGGTGTACAGGATAACATTCCAACCACCTGAGTCACCTAGCCAGGACAAAAAATTCTTAAATTTTACATGTCTCTTTACAAATAATGATCCTTTGCTATTATTTCATTTAGAGATGGAGACATTGAGGCTCAGATAAATTGTGATATGGTCTAACTCACCTGGAAAATAAACTGATTTAGCCAAGACTAGATTTGTAGGTCTCCAAATTTCCATTAGATAAATTTTCATGTTTTTCTGGTTTGGAGATACCATATAGTTTATGGATTAGATTTTTCTCAGACATAGGCAGAATTTTCTTTCGGTTTGGTATGATCATGGCTTGTCCTGTTGACACAGTCTTGGGTTTCTAATGTACCAGCATGACACTATATCCATGCAGAATGAAAGCTGAACATAAGGAATGTTATGTGACATATTGTACTAAATGCTAATGTGTTTTCCTTAGTATCAAGAATATGATTCTATCCATTGAGTCTCTCAACACTTCTTACACCTTGTCATTTCTCAAGCTATAAATGAAAGGATTCAGAGAGGGGTCACTACTGTAATGAGGACAGCAGCTACCTTGTCAAAAATCCAGTGAATAGTTCTGATTGGGTCTTACATACACAAAGATGTTGCTCCCATAGGCAATGGAGACAACAGTGATGTGAGAAGCGCAGGTATAAAAAGCTTTTTGACGGCCTTGGGCTGAGGGGATACGCAGGATGGTAGAAATGATGTAGGTATAGGACCCAGTAGTGAAGGCCAGGGAACTCAGGATGACAAGGGCAGATAGGAGGAAGTCTATCTTCTCAATGAGGTCCATATCTATACAGGCCACTTGCAGAAGAGGGGCAATGTCACAGAAAAAATGATTAATTTCTTTGTGACAGTAAGGTAGCCTTGTCACTACAATGGTTGGTGCCAGCACAGACAAGAAGGCCCCCACCCAGCAGCCTAGAACCAGCAAGAGGCAGACCCTGCTGTTCATGATGATGGGGTAGCCCAGGGGGTTACAGATAGCCACATAGCAGTCAAAGGACATCACTGCCAGCAGGATAAATTCCACTGTCCCCAGGTAAAAATAGAAGTATGTTTGGGTGATGCAGCCAGCAGGAGATATGGTTTTCTTCTCTCCTAGGAAGCAGGCTAGCAGCTTTGGGGTAACAACAGTGGTATATAAAATATCCAGAAAGGACAGATTACTGAGGAAGAAGTACATTGGGGTTTGCAGGCGATTATCCGTCCATATTAGGGAAATGATGACAATGTTTCCTGTTGCAGTTAATGTGTAAGTGAACAAGAGAACTGCAAAGAGGAAGGCCTGAAGCTCCGGGAGCACTGGGAAGGACGTCAGGGTGAATTCGGTCACCGTGCTTTGGTTCTCCATGGCTGGTGCTACATAGTGGGCGGGGCCTCCCTTCAGAAACAAGACAGGGATAGTCGGCCTTGAAGGTGCTTTAGTAAATATCCGTTGGAAATGTATTGTGGAGGGTGCCTGTTACTGGGAGATGACTCATGGGCTATAGTTGATCTAGAAGTTGTTTTTGTGCAACCTCAGGAAAGTAAAAGTGCCGTTGCCACATGACAATTTCTGTAAAATGAAAGGATAAGATTGGATTTAAAAACAACCTCTCATTTAATGAAGCTTCTCTTCTTTTCAGCTTGTCCAGCTTTATCTCCCCAGCTAAAAATTTGCTTAAGTATTGACTCATACTTTAATTAGAACTTGTTATTATTCTGAAGTTTACAATCCCTAAGAGGGAAACCCTTTTAAATACTTGCTTGCCTTTTCTATAATAAATTTTCTTTCTCTTTGGCAGTGCATATTAGAGACCTGCCATGAGTAAGAGATAGAGATGGATTTGCCAATATTTGGTGATCTCCAGAGTTTCCCATTTCTGAAGTCTTTTCCCGGCATATATCGATCTGTGGAAATAAAGCAGGGGCGTTCAAAAGGAACAATGTGCCGTGGTTCCTACTAATCATGCCCATAGACACATCAAAAGGGAATAATGAATATTGGTTATTAGATTTCATCCTGTGTCTGAAACCTAATTCCCATATGTTCTATGACACAATATATATGTCACACATCTGGCTGCTGATTATTTGAGAAGACATTAGATAATGTGATAAAGTCAGAGAGGTACAAATTATACATAGGAAAGTAAAGCAGAGGACATTCAGTCTTCTTCACTTACTTGATCAATTGAAATTATAAAACTACATTAGGGTCATTCAGTTTGTCACTTATCCCAGTATCGGAGACAAGGTTCTTTTGCACAAATTTCCCCATTTCAAGTTAAAATGACCTATTCTTTAACTCCTACCTCAGTGTTCATCTAGATTCCACTTTGCTCCTTCTTAACAAATGAGTCATAACTGCTCCCCTCATTTTCCTTTTTCACCTCTCTTCCTACTCTCCTTCCAAGATAAAATACTTGTCTTCCTATTTAATTTTTTATTTGTAGTTTATCCTACTATAAAACTACATTTCTCAGTGCAAAGAATGAGAAAATGCAAGTGCAAAAACAAAATTATAATCTGTAATTAAATCTGTTGCAGATACAGTGGCAAGCTTTTGTTGAATATATTCCTAGGCTGTTTCAAAGTTCAAATTATATACATATTCAGGGTGGGGCAGAAGTAGGTTTATAGTTATTCATATGGAAAATAATACAATTATAAATAGTAATACAAGAATAAAGTCTCTGTTTTGCATATTCACAACTGTAAACCTCCTTTCGTTCTACCCTGTATATATGAAGTCATGCTAACATTGCTCTGTAACTTTTCTCATTTTTCTTTTTTTACTGAAAATATAATCTTTTCATGTCAATTAATAAAAATACATACAATCATTTTTTTAAAAAAACAGCTTTTCAAGGTATAATTAATACACAAAGAGCTGCACATATTTCATATGTACAAAGTGATGAGTTTGTGCACATGCAAACACCATGATACCACCACAATCAAGGTAACAGACACATCACATGTCTCCTAGTGTTTTCTTCACAGTCATTTTTAAGGGTCTGTCCTGTTTCTATGGATGAAGCCATGCTATATTTAGCCACTTGCTTGTGTTTGTAATTTAAATCATCAGCATTTCTTGCTTGTGGAGATAATGATCAAATAAAAATTCTTACTCATACATCTTTGTTCAGTTGTCTTATTAATTCCTTAGAATACTCTTATTTTCCTTTGGGATGTTTGTTTTCACTATTTATTTTGTAATATAAAAATCCAGAAAAAGATTCAGTCTTATAACATTAGAATTTACCTTACTAGAACTGTTGATCATGTAAAATCATTTATAGATAGCTATCATGTTTCCCTGCCCACCCCCTCCAGAGGTAATTCTTCTACATCACACTGAAAGCTGGGTAGCTTGAGCCTTTAACCAGATTAAGCTTCTGTGCTTACAAAAAAAAAAAATCTCCTTTTATGTTCTGGACTTCAGTTTTCTTGTCTGAAAAATTACAATGTTGGACTCTACATTTATAGGGTTATAGTTTTATTCAGTTGTCACCAGTTACTTTTCACCTTCATTCTCCACCTCAAAGATTCTAACTTCTTTTATTCTCTAGTAAACAGGCTTCCCCATGATTCTGTAAGTTACTGTACAGAAGTGGCAAATTGTGAATGCAATACCAATATAATAGTGTATGAAATTTCATGTGTCTTTTCTGTCTGGGGTATTCTGTTGTCTGTTTTTAAAAATTATTATTTCCATGAGGTTGTTCAAGGTAAATGCTATTTCACATCTTAAAATTCAAGTATTTGATTAATTTGAGATAGAAAACTGGGTTCCAGTCCTAGATTTTACCTTTTTTATTTTTGTCACATTAGATTGAATACTTCAATTGAGTCATAGCTTCTTTATTTAAGAAGTGAAGGTAATTATAACATTTAAAATGAGCTTCTGTGGAACTTAAATTAAAAAATATATGTGATAATATCTGACAGATTTTTACTAAAAGAAATATGACTCCATTTAGAAGGATTGAGATGAACTTAAAGAAGATGAACAATTAGAGCTAATTATTTATTATTTAAATACATAAATTATGAAAAGTTTAATTTGTAACAGAGGCATATTATTAATGTGTACTGAATCTAATCCCCTCAGACTGGCATCTGACTCCACTAAGAATACTGACAGATCAGAGACTACACACAGAAAGATAAATTTAACAAAGTGATATATTAATAAATAAAACATGGGTCAAAAAGTATATTTACATTTCACCAATTATACAGATGATATAATATTCTTCCAACAGATTTTGAATGTGCAGACATAGTAAGAGGCTCAAACTTTGGTTGTGCATGAATGAATTAATTCTAAGCATTGTATTTTGAATTTTTTGCCAATTCTATTCCTATTTCTAGCTAACAGAAATAAAATGTCTTAAAGATAAAAATAAACCTGTCACTGAACTACCTAACCCCAGTAAAAGTCGCTCTGATTAGCATCCCTACCACATCCCCATTCAGCCACTGCTTGGAGGACTTCAGTGTTGGAACATCACTGTCTTGCTTTAGTACTGGCTGAATGAAGAGCTTTTATCTCAAATGGAAGATCCCTGTAACTTCCAAATACACATTCATGTACTGGCCTTATAGGTAAAATATTAAACTTTTTCATCACAATGGCCCTCAAACACCTGTATGATCTAGATGCCCCCCTTGCCTCACAACATCCCTATGAGTTCAATGTAACATAAATTCTAGAATCTGTTTTTCAGGTAGAGAACATAGTAGTTGTGGTAACTTGAAGAACTTTCAGAAATAAGTCAGACATATCTAGATTAGAGTATGTCTTCTCTCACTCCCATTAAAAAAATTTATCTTGGAAAATTGATTCTCAATTCTCAGGAATTTTTCATTTTTTTTGTTTTTTTTGTTAATTCTGAATAACTTTAATCATTTAGTAACTGGTCTGTTTTATATATAGAATTTCATACAACTAACTCATCTATATGTGGCAGTTGCAGAATCCTTCTTATGGCATCTTTACCAAGTGATGGCCCAGTAAAAGGAATGCAGAACAGTTTTTGGTATTTTATAGTTACTAGAATAATAATCTTTCCATTGAAGCTTTTTCTAAATGGTCTTGAATACTATGAATCACTGGATTAAAGGTGACTTGAGTTATTTTTAAAGTTACCCCTTCCTTTTCTCTTTACGGTAAAGATTTTTTTCTTGCATGAATTTCTTTTTCCCCAAAGAGGATGAACTGTTTTTTTTTCATGAGCTTATTTGCCTTAGAGGTTTAGAGGAGAATAACTCTTGGGAATATGGATCAAAAAAAGTTAATTAATAGTATTGTTATAAAAGAATTTTTATCCTGAATTATCTAATCATGCTACAAAGTTTTAGAAGGTGCCAAATAGACCTGTTAGGGGCTCCTTGGGGATTTACTCAGATATTTTGTTCTATCCACTTAAAAGAATACTTAAAAAATATATAAGAAGCTAAAAGTACAAAATTTTTATTGTTCTTAAGTTGTTGATACAATGGAAAATATTCTCCAACAATAAATATTCTGGAGTGTTAGATACCATGTAGCACCCCTCTCTGTATCGGCATCAAATTTTTTGGTTATCCTCACCGGAGGACAGTTTTTCATTGCTTTCAGAGAGAGAGAGGGAGAAAGAGAAACAGCCATGCTAAAGAGAAGCATCAACTGGTTGCCTTCCCTGTATACACCCAGACTGGGGGTTGAAACTGCAATGTGGGTATATGCCCTGACCAGGAACTGAAACTGCAACCTTCTGGTTACAGGACGATGCTCTAACCAATTGATCCACAGCAGCCAGGGCAGCAGCAATTTTTAAAAGTTTTTTAGAGTTCCAGATACAACGACTTGCATAATGTTTCTCATCCTTGACTTTTCCCTGTTTAAGAAGAGAAGGCCTATATTGAACTCAGCTTGGTTCAGCTGTCCTCCATTCTCCTGACTTATCTCACACAGTTGAAAGCTTGCCACAAACTTCCAGTTTTCTTGTATATATTAACACATCAAATTTTCAACAACAATTTCTTTCAACATTGAACTCTTAACTAAAAACATTGTGACTTTTTAGCCTAACATAAACACGACTTTCACCCAAGGACACTGGTTCCACTGAGGCCCTTTCAAATGAGAACTCACATCCTCCTTTTTCTGGACCTCAGGGCTGGGGCACTGTGGGAAGAGCAGCTCGTGGGCAT